TTAGTTTTATATTTATTTTAAAATATTTTAATCGTTTTTGTAAATTGTTTCAAAGGGAAATCAAAAATATAGGCAGTAAATAATATTTTGCACCATTATTTTTAATTTTAAACCTAGCATTAATTTGTAACTTTTTGGGCCCAATCTGGGCTGAAATTTATTATAACTACCGTTTACCACTCAATCCAGGCAATTCTGCAGGACTATTATTTGTATTTTAGGTTATAGTAATAAAAAATGTACAAAACTTTGCAAAAAAATTTAAATGAAGGTTAAATCCTTGATTATTTTGAGGAATCTGGTTGTTTATTTTATTCTCATCACAGTTAGGTGCATGCACTTTGGTAATCTTTAAATATCTTTACAAAAAACACCGTTGCCATTACATGAACGACACCTGAAATAAATATTGTGTCCTTTTTTTATCCTTTCTATATTTTTTCTTTAAATAGTATGTCATTTTATTATGACTGGAATGTTTAAAAGATATAGCCTTTAACTATGAAATTCATAAAATATGCATAATTATTATAAACCTTCTGATTTTCTTAAATATTATGTTTGCTGAAACAGTCATAATTGGGAGTTCTTCCATATTTGAAACATGTTGATCTTAAAATAATATAAAAAATGTTATAAATGGCTAAGGTATTTATTGTATTGATGATTATTTCGACACCTAACTTTAATAATAAGCCTTTTACCTGAGATGTTCATCATGATCAATTGATTAATAGAAGATGGACAAAAGTACCCCAGATTAAAGATGCTGGACCAAAATATTTACCGGCAAAAAGACATTGCACAAAAATGCATTAATTTTATAAATTCTTTATAAAGGTTAATTTAAAAGTTTTCTTCTTTTTAAGAGTTTAATTTCTTAATTGGGATATTTTCGTCCGGTGTCTTTTTGTACATGGGTATTTTGATCCATGTTGTCCAGGGTATTTTTTATCCTTGATTCTCTTTATATATTGTACAAATAAAATGATGTATTAAATTAATAACTTAATTTATCTTAACTAGATATTCAATTGAGAAGCTATTGTTTATTTTAAATTTTCAAATGATTTCCTATAGACTCTGTTTATTAAATTATAGCAATAACCAAAAATTTTATAATTGCACTGCAAGCAGTCTTTTAACTAACCTGTCATAATTTATTGCAGTCGCCATTTTTTTTATTTGAAGTTTTTATATGAAAGTTTGGGAAACATATCTTAATATAGTGAATTGATGTCTGTATCATAATTTTTATTGATCTTATTTACAACTGACATATATTTGTACGCCATTTCTTTATCTGCACAGAAGCGATTGCCTTATATAGAATAAATTGGAACGTTAATGGACTATTATCTCCACGAGGATCTTCAGGATAAAGAGCTTATTTTTCTCCAGTAAGGAATTTTCATGCTATTATGAGGAGAAATAAAATCGACCTAAAATTTCAAATAATCGTTTAACTGTAAAAATGTAATTGTTGATGCATTATTTACCCGATATTTGACATGAACGAGAATCAAGATTCTCGATATGCTTTTTCGGAGGATAAATTTGGAAGACACGCACATACTTGAAAGTATTTGCGAAAAGAATTGCTGTAGAACTTTACATTAAAAAGAAATAGCAGGGCATATTCTGCAAGGTTTTAATCGTCGGAAAGAGAAATAACTTTGGTTTTTATAATTGAAGTGAAGAGTTATCAACCGTGGTATTTTTAAATGGAATGGGAGATTGGCGATACCAAACAAACATGGAAATAATTCATCGGGGATACCTGGTGAAAATGTAATGAAATGATTTTCAGGTAGATATAGAAAATTATATCAAAATCAAAAGATGTTCTGGGCGTCTTAAAAATAGACCTGGAATTGAAAAAATAACACTATTTTTTAAGTGTAGATAGTGTTGTTAAACCATCTAACTTTGACCAGCTCTTAAACGGCGTAGTCAAGTTTTTAGTCTAAAAAAATAGTCTCTATCATTAAGTTGAGACGTTTAAGTCAATTATTTAAGGGATAATCTTGACCACGCCATATTGGAGTTGGTCAAAGTTAGGTGATTTAACATCACTAACTTAGGTAAAGAACCTTGGGCGTGAAATCATATTAATTTTGCAGTTCCAGTTGCTTCGCGAAATTGGTTAATTAGGCTTTTTACTAGTCGAAATGGTTAGAGGTTGATCTTATGCAGATTACTTCAGTTGAGGCGACGATCAAACGTTTGATGAAATATTTGCTCGCTTTGAAAAACATAATTTATTGTCAGATATTGGATAAGTTTATATCTGGGCATAAACGTAGCCAGAGGGAGAGGCAAGGAAAAATCCCACCTCGGAAACTTGCTGGTTCCCGAAGCATAAAAAATTCCTCTCTACCCCCCCCCCCCAATGTATCCAAATTACTATAAAGAATTTGAAAGAAAAATTAACCAAAGTAATAGCTTTTTATGATAATGACTAAAATTCAAAATTTGTAAAGAAAAAGGTGAAAAATTCAAAATAATGATTTGCATTCTAAGGGGGGGGGGGGGGGAATTCAAAATTTCACCTACTTAACATCCCTTTATTCCGAGCGGAGACCTTCGTGGGTCTTAATTTTTTGATCAATGCCGACCCCAGTATTAGGCCCAAATTTGATATTAAAAAAATTTCCAAGTCAATAATAAGTTTAAAATATTTTTCTCAAACCCGGCCAAGTCATCCAAAAATTTAATTTATTGTATTTCGTGAAAATAAACATTATCTAAGTGTATTTAAGCGATGATTTTGTTTACAATACTGAAATTTATTATTATAAAAATTGCAATATTTTTTAAGTTAGCAACTGTTTTAAATATACTAAATTTAAAAAATTTAGGCCCAAACTCATTAAAAAGAATTCAAAAATTCAGGCCGCTAGAAAAAAATATTAGGCCCATACCCGGCCCATGAAGGTCTTTAATTTCGAGTAGGTAAAACATCAGTCCAATGAAGGTCATTTTATTTTGAGCTAAAAAGGCAGGATATCATTGGAATGGAGAATCTTTAATAATTTAGTGTATAATACATTAAATAAGTGATCAATAGGTCTTTCATTCATTTCTAGAAGGGATCATATGAAAATATATAATTTTTTATATATTTTTTAGAGCATGTACATAAAAAGCATGTATCTATTAGAGAATCGAGATGTTTTACTATATGCCTATGAGCATTAAATGATAGGTTAGCTCGGGAAACTAAAGAAGAAATCAAACTAAGGTATTCTAATTTTCAGCTCGATCACTAAATTTTAAGCTAGACAAAATGAAGCGTAACATCTAGATCCATAAATAAGTTTATGTAAAATAGAACTTTTAATATAAAGAGTAGACAATGATGTTTAGGTAATTCATTAAAATATGGAATTAGTGTAAGGTCTGCTAATAAATTGAAAAAATTTAAGGTGAACTGCTGAGAGGTTACTACGACATTAATAAATTGCTAAAAAAAACTGTAAACTAACATGTAACTTGAATCCTAGGAAGCAAATGTCAGATTTTTATTCAAAGATAGTCGAATACTATAAAATAGACTAGACACTTGGAGGATTGCCAGATAGTGCCATCGCCATACCACATATTTAAATGAAGATTAAACCTTTGACATAATTAATATCGATAAAAGGATTTAACTGCTGAATTTCTATCTATAGCAAGATGATAAAACTATAACGTTCTTTCAAGAATAATTGTGGAAAAAATAAAAAAAATGAGAATAAAGTTTTTCCCATATAGGCTATTAAAAGCATTTTGGAAGTCAAGTTTTATTTTATCTGAAAGTGTTATCAGTTTTGTACTGTTTGTTCTAGTTTTAGAAGTAGGTCTTCTAAAAACAGTACCTAAAATACCACTAACAGGTTTAGACAACAAGCCTAGCTCTTTGGAATAGTTCGGTCCAAAATAAATTAAAATCAATGTCCGAATCTAACAGAGAGTGTCTGTACAGACCTGTCTAAGCCGAGCCCTAGTATGGCGGGCAAAATATGTTTATAGGACAAGTTGGAATTTCGCAATTTTTTTCGTTAAGGGAAATTTATGTCTTCTTCATAAAATTTAATTATGGACCAAGAAATACAAATTTTTATAAAATTATTTTAGGGTATTGGCAAAAATTATTACTGCGCTGGCCAAAAAACCATTTCAAAAATTTCCAGGGCCAGTTTAGTATGGCCGTTCTCTAATCAATATTAAAGTAAGGTTAGCTACCTGTCCAAAAGAACTAGGAAAATAATGAAGCATGCTATAAAAATAGAATAAAGTTCATAAAAACCAATGGGAACAATTTGATTTTTTAAAAATTCATTCAGTACCATCCATTCCATTTTTTTCGGACTCATCTTCAGGATTGATAAATGATTTGCATAAGATAGTGAAATCAACATTAAAATCTACATTGGTACCATCTAGCACAAATAAACCAAGGAATTCAACGTACTTACTATTGGTAGCTGCAATGCCTTCTCTTGGTCATTAAAATGCCATTTGGTCTGTTTTCAACCTTTATACAAATCTTATCCAATTTTTCAAGTTAAATTATTTAAAAAAATTGGATATGTTTAAAAAGAATTTAACATAAAAATACTGATGCAATTATCTATTGGGCGTTATCTTGAGATCTGACGGCCCGGCATTATTTTCAATAAGTTTTTATAGCACAGCCCGTTAAAATTTATTTTTTTAAAAGTAAAAATCATTAATAAATTTTCTTAATAACGCTTAAATTAAATTTTTACTTATAAAAATGATAGTAATTTTTTTAAAAATTATGTCATAACAGCTCATGCAGATCTTAACTTTCTATTACCCATAAAGATGGCTTATGACGATGACTTTTTAAATTGGATACACCTAATTAGCTTATGAACAATAAACTTGATATTTATAGTAATAAGAGTTACTTGACAAATTGATATGGCCAATAAAAACTTTCATAAATCAGATTAATAGAGTATTCTTAAATGTAGTGGGTGAAGGAATATCAATATACCTTTATATTTATTACACAATATTAAATATTTTATAATCACGTATAATATAAAGTAGGACTAAAAAATTTATGTGACATAAATGTTTTTAATCATATATATCATAAGACGGGTGGGGGTTTATACATATAATCAGGATAGTAATTGTAAAAAAATATAAGATTAAATAATAATATTATATGGATTTTTCCTACAATAAATAATGATTGATAGATAAGATACAATATTGCAAAAGTAATAAACGTATAAAGAAATAAGGCGAACGATGTTGATTCATGCCAAATAAAAAATTTAAGTATAAAATTATATTAATAATTTTTTTTGAAACAATATACATGATTGCAAAATTTCTAGACTAAAAATTTTAATTCAGCAAAAGAAAATTTATTTAAAATGATTTTAAAAAAAAATGTACCAACAGAAAAAAAATACCCTCATAATTTATGTCTCAGCAAACCATTTTATAAAAAAAATAAGTAATTTTGATTTTTTAATCAACAAGACCTGCCTTTTGTAAATTAAAGAAAAATGAGATAAAAACGTTATTATATTAAAATTTTGAATTAAATGATAAAGCTTTCAGGAATTTTCGTTCTTCAAATACCTCTTTGCGCGGCATTATCCTGAGTAATATATTTTTTAAATATTAAAATGAAAAAAATACTCAAGCTATTCAATGAACATCTGAAAAAATTCCTAAAATTTAGAAATATATATTAGTAGGGAATCGCTCACCATCTTCATTATATTTAAAAAAAGTTGGTTTGTATCAAAATTTTAAAGGTCCAATTGGGTTTTGATTTTCTAAAAGAAAAAGTGCCCAACTTTCTAAAAATGGTCTAAATTGATATCGTTTTAACACTTTTCAGTGATAATGGGAAAAATAACGCGAATATTAGATTGGCAGATATTTTTGACACTTATTAAACCAACCTAAATTATAAATACAAAAAATTTGATGATTTAATTTAAAATAAAATTTTTGTAAAGAATAAAGATAAGGTAAAATTTCTCTAAATACAATATTTTTATTATAAAAATATATTTAAAACTTATAATAATCAACAAATATACTAGTTAAACTTGTTATCAAAATTAACATATTATCAAAATCCAAAATTAAAATTGGCGCTTTTACTTCCAAAAAAATACATAAAACCTTTCATAAAGGAGGTTACTGAAAAATCTAGGTCAAAATATCGGCATTTTTTTTTGTATTTAAAAATCACTGAAGTGTTACTTTGCACTAGTATAATATTAAAAGGACAAGATTGGGTATAAAAGGTTAGGATATGGAAAATATATATACTTTTTAGTGTGCATTAATAATTTACTTGGGTAAATTTTTCTTCGTCGGTCATAAACAAACGGCTCAATTCCTCGGAAGTTTTGTTTTTAGTCTCTGGCAAAAATTTGTAAGTGTACAACCAGAAAAAGACGAGTAAAACAGTAAAAACCAAAAACACGTAATTATGCAGATATTTCTGTTTTTTTTTAAAATTCAATATATAAATGAAATTGTTATTACACTTAAACTCTAATTAGACACCATTTTATTGATTTTGTTGTAATGCAAATAAAAAATATTTTGCTTTAGCATAACTAATTTAAAAGAAATTAGGCATTCCCGATATTCATAAATATATATTGTGAGTTATCATTATGTAAATCAGCACTATAATTATGTTAAAAAATTGATCAGGACTACAAAATATTTAATTCAAGTAGTAAAAAAACATTATGTGCTTATACAGATATTAAATGTTTTTTACGTGAGCCACAGGAAATAGCAGACCAACTAAAAAGTTTCCAAACCAATTGAATATAACCGATATACTCATTGCCTTAGGTCTGGGTGCTTGAGTAAAGAGCTCGGCCGAGATGAACCACGCAATGACACCTGATTTATATGTTTATATAGAATTTAATTTAAATAATTAAATGAATATGTTATCCAACCAATAAATATCATAACAAAACAAAAGTTTAGACTCCGCCCGGATACTGACCGACAAGAGCTTAGAATTTATAACTTTTAAATAGGAATCGAGAGTAATTTTTTTTTTATAAAATCAAAAGCATAATCTAAAATAATTTCTGCCAAGTTAATTTTAATCTTTATGTATTAAACCAATATCAATCCATTTTAATAACCAAGAGCAAAACAAAAGAAGTGTGAAATAATAAGTGTATGGATTAATGGTAAAGTAACATTTAAACCATGTATCGAAATTAAATTTCCTTTGAGCGACTTTTATGTGGATTGTAATTATAGAGCATAAACCTGCAGAAATGCCTATTTTCAAGCTCGGCTTGTGTTAAAAAAAATAGAATATCCTTAGGCCTTAGTTGGTTTAAAATAATTTTTTCTGCATTTTGTAAATAGTTTCAAGGGTAAATAAAAAAAAAGTCTCATATTTTCAAATGAGAATAATATTACATCAAAAGGTATATTTTTTTTAAATAAGGGAATTTTAAAGGAATTAATGGTTAATGTATCTGTGGAATAGATAATATTTTTTGAGACTTAAAGATGCTTTCTTTTTATATGATTTGACATTTTCCCTCTTAGTATAAAAATTTTTAATAATCATTACAAATCTGCAACAGGGGGAAAAGTTTTTATTTAAAAATAATACCAGGTCCAATGGCGAAAAAGCATACAAACACAATTACGAGAGCCACAGAGAAGTAAGACGCATTAGGATGGACTTTGGTTTGATTGGCTCTGTATTTGGATCCTAGAACCAAGGTAATAGTAAGTAAAATGCTGCAAAGCCACATGCCGGCTAGTCCCAAAAGATACAAGGTACGTCGGCCGGCTTTCTCGATAATGGCCATTGACAGAAGGGTCATAAGTACATTGATGGCTCCCATACCGCAAGTCGCGTAAACGGCATGGTCGTTACGCAGACCTGCACTTATAAAGATGCCCGTTGAAAAAAACATAGCCTTTTTATTGTTTATTTTATTCAGGGAAACGAAAAAGATAACATATTTAGAGCATTTATACAAAATGGATTGGCAATTTTAAAGGAATTGCGATTTATTGGATTATGAAAATCACTCTTTTTTAAAAAGAAGTATTGTATTTATTTGAATCCATTATATTTTTACAGCATTAATTCCACTAAGTTGCTGTGAAATGTGAGTTTCAGATGCGATAATGAGTGGCTTGCGATAAACTGGTTTTGTAAACATATCTTTCCAGGTAACTGGCGGAAGACGTTTCTGCTCCTCGGCTTCACTCTTCATCTGATCAATCTCGTCCGTAACGTCGTTAGTTTTACGGAGCTTGGAAAGAGCTATTTATTTTATCAATGAGTTTAAATTTTGGATTATTTTATTTTTCTTGAAATCGTATACTAAATAAAAATTAGAAGCTTCTGTTTATAATTTTCAAACATCAATAATACACATTCAAAAATAAAACTGTTCATTAACTCACCATATCTTGCTCTTATTTCGTCATTCTTGCTAATAAGCAAATATCGCGGACTTTCGGGCATAAGAGGCAACAGTAAGCATTGAATAGCCGCCGGAATCGCGGTAAAAGCTTTACAGATTATAATTTTTTAAGAAAATTAAGATAATATATAAAACAAAATAATAAAAATTTATTAAAATAACCTATTAAATATAAAAAAAGAAGCAAAAATATTTTCCAAATAATATAAATATAGTCAAAAATACTTACCCAAAAGTATGGGCCAATGGTAAACGTTACCCAAAAGTTGGGGCAATCCCAATATTTGTGAAAACAGAATGGATATAGTAATTGCTAACTGATGGACAGCCCCGGTGGCTCCTCTTAAGGATACAGGAGATATTTCTGCTAAGTACATAGGGACCGCGCCAGATGTCACACCTGAAAATCATAATTAAAAGTATAAATAATATAGCTACCTCAGAGTATCCTTTCTTAAGTTGAATAAAAATAATATACAACGTTCCATTAACATAAGTCGAATAATAATACCCCGTGTTCCATGTAATGTGAATTCTCCAGATATAATTTTAGAAATTTTACTTAATTTAAATTATCATATATTTTATTTGAATTTAAGAGTATCGCCATCAATGATGTCAACTATATTTCTCTTTATTATTTTTATTCCTATAACATAAATTAACCATCAATTTTACAATAAATATTGAATGATCTTTTTACAATTTCTTTTTATGTAATAATAATAACCGAAATAGCTCTTTCGAAGTTAACATCTGTTTAAAAAACTTATTTACATTACGAGAATATAACAGAACTATTTGATATCGTTGGAGGGGAAAAATAAAACAAAGATTTCAGAGACCTTAGTAGGTCAAAATTTTAGCCCCCCCCCCAGATTTGATACTTATTTTTTATCATTTTACGGTCTGTCCTAAAATTTTTAAAATTGTTTTAAAAGTAAATTGAAAAGATGAGTAGTAAATGAATAGCTCAACAGTATAATTTTCAAACTAATTAATATAATTTAAATTCATTTTAATAAATCGGCCTGGCCCAGATTTTTAATCATCATTTTAATTTTTTAAAATTCTAAAGCCAAGCGCGGATTATTAAATTATATTAAATTTCGGCTATTCCGGGCCAGGTTTTCTGTTATTTATATCTGTTTATAAAAAAAATATAAGTTAAAATTAAAGATATCGGCAGATACCTTATATTGATGCATCTTTGATTATATCTCATTTAAAAAATATAATTGTTTAGGTTATAATAAGGTTTTATTGTAGTTTGAGTAATGGACTTAGCATATCTATATTTGTGTAATTTTAAGAAAATTTTTAAACTTAACGAAAAAAATTAAATTGTATAGTGATCCAAAGCACTAAAACGATAGGTTGAATTCAGATAAAAAAAATTAGCGTTCAATTTCGATTAGTAAAAGGGGTTCGGTTTAAACCTTTAAAAACCTGTTCAAACTATTCGCATAATAAATGTTATCTTTAAAACTTATACATTAGGTCTTACGAATATGAAGAATAAATTATGATTAAAAAAATATAAATCGTGATACATGATATCACATATGCCCTCTGACTTTGAATAAACAACAGAGCTACGCTAGGTTTTCCTCATTTCCATCTAATTGGAATAGAAGTTAATTAGGGTGCAAAGATAAAAAAATATGAGGAGCCCTCTACACGTTACTTGTACGCGCAACATTTCGAAAAATGTTACAGACGTTCATAGGCTTTAAGAAAAAGAGCGGGACAGAAAAAAGAGCATATGCCAAAGAACTGCAGTATAAGTTAATTACTTTAAAGGTGGGTTGTGGCTGATTTTAAATTTAAGTTTTTTAGTTAAAGCCGTGAATCATATCATTATCAAAAATTAAATTATAAATTTAAGTACATACCATTTGAATTTTGTCCTGATCTAATAGCGGCACATACTATGGTTTAGAAAATATTAAAGAGATTAACAATATATATTTCAAGCTCAAAAATTTTTCATTTAAAATATCTATTCTTAATCCGGAAAAATTTTACGATGGAATTTTTACAATTATTTAATTTGATAAGTTGTTTCATGTTTAAGTTTAGCTCCATCACATCTTTTAGAGTTTTATAATACCATAAAGATTTATATTTTGTATATTCTTTCTTATTATAAGTGTAGAGCCATGTAATGGCATAGTGGACTAGATTATGGTCCGAGTTCCTTATCATGTGAGCTAGGAATTGGATATGACGTTTCTTTAAGATAATATGAATTGGGGTATGTTTTGATATTCTCCATAGATTATTATTTGATATCACTTTTGGGTAAAAATGCCATTTATAGTTGGATTATATGAATTATTGCAATCTTCTATTCTCTGTTTTATTGATTTCCCATAATCCCCACCAAATAGCAATATAGGGATTATAGTAGAGTTAAAAATTCTGAGTCTGGTGTACACGGAAATCTCTTTGGTTTTTCAAATTTTCATATATTATAAAAAGCCCCTCTCGCTTTTTGTATTCTTATTTTCAACTCTTCCTTAAAGCAACTCCTATTGTCAAGCATGACGCCTAAATATTTTATTTTGTCTACTATCTTAATCACATTTCCACCAATTGTAAAATTTAAATTTTGGGCTGTATTTGGGGAAGGGAGAATGAAAGTTATATTATAATTAATTTTTAGTCCCATTCTCAGACTTAGGGTTTCTAATAAGTGTAGCAAATTTTTCGTTTCTTCGATACTTGTAGACACTACGGCGATGTCATCGGCATATATTATCCGATTTTCCAAACGTATCGTAACATTAGAACCCATATCAATTAGATTCGCGGCTCCCAGGGCTTCTTTTATGATTTTATAAATTATGATATTGAACAAGAGAGGTGAGAGTGTACATCCTTGTTTCACGCCCTTTTTTATTCTGAAAGTTGGGGGGATACCTTATTTTTAATTTTGAAAAGCAGATAGATTAGAATAGTGGTTTTTTAGGATATAGATAATATTAGGTTCAATCCCATATTCCGTAAGTGTCCTCCATAGCGCATCGTGGTTTACGTTATCGAATGCCCTACTGAAATCTACAAAAGTGAAGTCCAGCATTTTTGTATCATTATTTTTAATGCAAGAATTGGTTCCAGAATATTTTTGTTGGGTCTGTAAGCACAAATATATTTTGGGAGTAAGTTTGGTACGGATGACGTTTTTTAGCAGACCAAGAAGATCTTAGATACGGTCACAGGGGTTTTACCACTTTCCCAGATTTTATTAAAGAGATAGTAGAATGGAGGATTTATTTTATCAAGCCCAGGAGCTTCATTATTGCGCAATTATTTAATTACTTTTTCAATTTCATCTATGGAAAAACCCGACGGGCGCGGAACTGAGTGCTCGTTTGTGTTTGTTGGGAAGAAAGCTTTCCTTGAATCGTAAACTATCATGTAGTAGTCCAGCCATAGTGTTGCTCCTCTTAGTCCGAGATTAGTTTTCCATTCGCTAAAACTAAAGAGGGGAGCTGTGAGGTTTACAGAAATATTTTAATGTTTTATAAGAGTCATAGGTTCTATTTTCTTTCATATCTTAATCAATTTCGAAGGCTTTTCTTGCAATATATATTCTTCTATCACTCCTCAACAGTTTTTTTATATCTTTCCATAATTCCTTGTTATTGATACCTTCTCTAAGCTGACTAATTTTTACTAAGGTCTCATTTGATAACCATTCTTTCCTTGAATAGATATTTATATTTGGTAGCGTGTTATAAGATTCTGTAATATTTTTTTTAAAAAGGCTCCAGCATACATCCACATTTCCATTCAAGGTCATATTTAGAAAATTATCTCTTCTCCTGACAAGCATTTGATCAAATTTGTGCTTTAATTTGTTTTCGAGAGAGGAAGGGTTTAAAAAATTTTGCCCTGTGTCCAGATGTATTTAGACTAATCCCATTGTGGTATCCCTATATATTTTTTACAGTCATTTTAGCTACAACCATTCTGTGATTTGAGTTTAATATTAGTAGACACTTAGACGACATCAAACCATTCGTGAATATTGGATATGAAGAAATCTATTTGTAAACTTTTACAAAAATATATGTGTTTATCCCTCGATGGTAGAAGAAAGTATTTTCGATTTTGAAGTTCTTGTTTTTGCAAAAATCGAGCAGTTTTCTACTATCTTTATTATTGGATTGTATAGTCGCATTTCCGATAATATTATTATTAATATATTTTAAAATTTTGCCGATTTTCAGATTAAGGTCTCCTAGTATAATAATATTATATCTTGATGGCAGAGAATCAATCAAGGTAGTTATTGTGTCAATAAAGCCCAGTCTATCATTCCTCCTTGGTGCGGCGTACAAATTTACAATTATCGTAGGTTTAAATTTTGTATTCAGATAGAGGAGACCCCATCTTTCCGACATGGGTACAAAAACCACGATGCCCTATGGAGGACACTTTCGGAATGCTGGATTGAATGTTATCTACATCCTAAATCACTATTCTAATTTATCCGCTTGTTTTAAAATTAATAATAAGATATCCCCCTCTTTCAGAATAAAAAAAGGTGTGAAACAAGGATGCACACTTTCACCTTTCTTGTTCAATATCATAAGTATAAAATCATAAAAGAAGCCCTGGGAGCTGCAAATCTAATGGATATGGGTTCCAATGTTACGATAAGTGTGGAAAATCGGATATCTTATGCTGATGATATCGCCATAGCAAGTGTTGAAGAAACAAAAAATTTACTATACTTATTAGAAACCTTAAGTCTGAGATTGGGTCTAAAAATTAACTTTAATAAAACTTTCATTCTTCCTTCCCCAAATGCAGCCCAAAATTTAAATTTTACAATTGGAGGAAATGTGATTTAGATAGTAGACAAAATAAAATATTTAGGCGTTATGTTTGACAATAGAGGATGCTGTAAAGAGTTGAAAATTAGAATACAAAAAGTAAATATATGTAAATTTGGAAAATGAAAGAGATTACTGTATACACCAGACTATGAATTTTCAACTCTACTATAATTCCTATATTATTATTTGGTGGGGACTTATGGGAAATTAATAAAACAAAAAATAAAAGATTACAATCATTCATAAATAACTGCCTCCGAACTAAAAATGGCATCTTTTACCCAAAAGTAATATCAAATAATAATTTATGGAGAATATCAAAACATACTCCAATTCATATTACATTAAAGAAACGTCGTATTCAATTCCAAGCTCACATCATAAGGGACTCGGACCATAATCTAGTTCACGATGCCATTACATGGCTCTACACTTATAATAGAAAAGAATACACAAAATATAAATCTTTATGGTAATATAAAACTATAAAAGATGTAATGGAACCAAACTTAAATAAACAATTTATCAAGTTAAACAACTGTAAAAATTCCATCAAGAAACTCTTCAGAATTAAAGATATATATTTTAAATGAAAAATATCTGGGCTTGATTAAAATTTATAACGTTAATCTCAGCTAGCATTTTCTAAACCTTTTCAGGACAAAAAGAAATGGAATTGGTATGCTCTTTAAATTTTTTTTTGTGATAGTATGAATTCACGGCTTTAATTAAAAAAAAAATTAAATTTAAAATCAGCCACAACCCACCTTTAAAGTAACTAACTTATACTGCAGTTCTTGGGCATAGGCTCTTTTCTGCCCTGCTCTTTTTCTTAAAGCCTGACGTCTGTAACATTTTTCGAAATGTTGCGCGTACAAGTACGTGCGGCTTGCCCACAAACGTGTAGAAGGTTCCTCATATTTTTTTAAACTTTGCACCCTAATTAACTTCTATTCCAATTAGATGGAAATGTAGAAAACCTAGCGTAGCTCTGTTTATTCAAAGTCAGAGGGCATATGCTATATATCACGTATCTGTAAAAATGTATAAACATTAGCCCCCTTAAAATTTATATTCAGATGCAGCTACAAGGTATCCTTTAATTCTATATTGTATAATCAAATTCGAATACGAATTATTATAAAAAGGATTGATGAATAATATATTTAAATTATATTAATTCTAGAAATATACGCATATTCGTTAATGCGGTAAAGTACATTGTGTTATTTGATGCAAAGGAACGTCATTCGTTACCTTCTTCTATAGGTAACGAGTAACGGTAATGCGTTTCTTTTTTTGAGTAACGGTAATTCAGAACGTTACTTCAAATTTTTCTTAAAGAATATGGAAAAAACATATTTTATTGTAATATAAAATTACTTTTATTTATTTTATAAATAATTTAAGCCGAGTTTTTAATTCACATCAACCAACAATCAAATTTTCAGTCAAGATTGTTAATCTGATTAATATCGAATCAATCAATGTGTGTAAATTTATATTCTTATTAATATTTTAATTTATTTTATAAAGAATATTATGTCAATTGTACAATTTCTTCAGAAGAAGATGAGTCAAGCCAGCCTTGGCTCCAATATGAAACATTTTTTACACCAATAAAGAAAACTAAGACACTTTGTAAGTGTAAATTGTATCCCAACTCAAATATTTTAACCTAAATTGTGGAATAAACATGGGCATCCTTTAAACTGTGCAGCCATTTTTAAGGAAAAAAATGAAATATCTGATTAAACTGGTTATAACAAGATGGGACTCTTTCTATAACTCCGTGAAATTTATAGTCTTATTAAGGAGAATGGCCATAAATTTGACGAATCCAAATTAAAGAGATTTTCAGATAATGACAAGTCGTTCATAGATGAATATTGTATGGTTATATATATGATTTTATAGGTTGGATACGGCTCTTTCGATTATAAAGAGAGAAAAAATGGGAAATCTCATTCCCACATATTAAAAAAATGACTTTAAATAATTTCATTTTGTAAGCCACTTATTAATGCAATTCTGCAAGAAAGACAAAAGGTATACAGTTGAACATTGTCCAATTTATATTTTGATAATATTTTACTTCAATTTAATATTCACCAGCTATTTAAATCAGATTGGCCCTGGTAAAACTAGATGTTAGCGAAGGAAGGAAGCTTGAACTTATTTCCTGTTTGAGAAAAGATCTTGAAAAGGCAGACTTGATTTATTTCAAAAAAAACATTGGATGAAGATATGAATGAAGATGCTTTTTTCAAAATAAGGTTATTTTTTAATCTTTAATAAATCCCACTACAATTTTTAATTATACAATACAACCCTCCCATCCTCTGAGCAAGTTGAATTAGCACAGTGAAAGCTGTGTTGAGCACTAAGCACTCTTGTTTATCGGATCAAAATTTAAGAAATATATTATTTTTTGCATAAACCCGTTACTGAATAGCTGGTAACGCGCGTTCCCTTTTCACAAGATAACGAGTAACGCCTTCCTCTTTTCCAAGCGTAACGAGTAACGCGTTTCTTTTTTGAATTAACGTTTACAGCATTCATATTTGTAATTAATTCTTTTTAAATTAAGCCACTCATAGTGATAGTGACATTTTAAAAATTTTCTAAAAACAAATAAAAAGATTTAGGAGAGGAAATAATAGGGTTCTTTTACATCTTGGGAGCATCTATTTTATAGGCACAAATATGATTTCTAATAGAAGAAACAATTAGGGAAAATGTATGCCGAAAAGAATGGGGGTTTTTTTATATATAAAATTAAAGAATTTTTTGTTATGTTCTTGTGTAACACGAAAAATTAGTTTAAAAAAAATACTACTCATATTACGAATAATACAAGTATTCGGTTCATACATAAACAAATAGAATATTACATTATTCGATTCGATTTTCTGGAGGCCTATAAGACAATTAACGTTTATTTTATTATAAACGCACATGCAAATATAACGAAAACCTAATTTATAAATTATAACAAATAAACTTTTGTATTAAAAAAATCTAAATTATATCTATAAGTAGAAAAAAAATGTTCGAGATTTAAGGAAAATTTCTATAAGTTAACTTGAGTAACTGGTATCGTTAAATAGAATACAAAAAAAATATCGAAAACGGTGACTAATACTGATCAATCTAAATTGATTGATAATTATCATCAAAATATAGAAATGTTCAAACCGGTTTACACATATTTTTAAAGATTTGGCTTAGGTTCGGCTGGCTAAATTTTTGACGGTTCAGGTTTGATTTAAGTTCAGTAGCAATAACATATTAACGGTTCGGTATAAATTTCTTGTAGTAAGTATTATAATTAAGAAATCGATAACGTAACTTTAATTTAATAATAGGAGCAAAACTGTTTGTTTATTTTATGCGTAACTATATTTTAAAACAGTAGATTAAAACTAACCGCAATTGAATCCTATAATCAAACGTCCAATAATGATCATTTCATAGGAATGACCTGCCCTGGCACACCCCATTAATATAGCCGCCAAAAAAGCTGTACCATTGTTGAGCAATAAGCATCCTTTTCTAAAATATATTGGTAAAGAAATATGTAATTCTTAAAATAAATTGTTGTTTACTACCCACCTATTATTTATTTTTTAAAGTGTCAAGCGTGGATCGGCGATAAAAGTGAAAATTTGTCAATAATTAAGATTGAAAGTATAATTTTTATCATATAAAAGCTTTTTTTAAAATCTAAATCAAGACATGTGATAAGTATGAAACTTTGTGAATTGCTTTAAACTGTATTGATAGTTACCTCCCAAATCGATCGCAAAAATAACCAGATAGAAGACCGCCGATCATACCACTGATAGCAAATATGGATACCGTAATCCCCCATAAGATAGTTAAATGAGTAGATGACAAATTTCGGCCATGTCTATCTCGGTAAATCCCAGAGTACCATTCCCGTAAAATCTGTTTTATTGTGATTATTTTTATCGTAAATACTATAAATGTGTATATAAAAAATTTGCAAAATCTTAAGAACAAAATAGAGAAACTTGTAATGTTAAAATATATTCGATTTTGCTCATACCAATGGTTTGCCACTAATGATAAAATGCATTATGAAAAACGATATCAATTTCGATTTATATTTTTTTAACAGATAAAAATTTAAATACTGAGTCACATTTAAAAAAATAAAATAATTTACAGGTCGTTGGCTGAGGATTTAGAGTGTTCCCTGTCCATTTTTCAACTTAGATGAGAATTTAAAAAATATATTTGTTAGAAGACGTAGAAATTCTTTTAAATTATAGTGACATGTATGCAATTTTATTAGTTATCTCTAGAGGTAAGCAAGTCACGTATTTCAAGATCCAGCTCGGATTTGTAATTTTTTTAAATTTAAAACCCCTCTATCCTCTACCAAGTATGCCCCATTTAGTTTGGACTTTTATGTCCCCATTCTTTTAAATTTGTTTTTATTTTTTAAAAGGTGGAGATAGGTGTTATATCTTTTTCAGATTTTTCTTATGTATCCTACTGAAAGCCTCGAATTTTCTTCCTTTATATATTTTTTTAGTATAAATTAATTATAAAATAAAAAGAATCGGATGCTCCAAAAAATTTTACTATCTCCAGTGACCCCAAGGAGAACTATTACCATAGGCAGAGAATATCTCTTGAAATATGCATATAAATCCAAGGATTAATACCACCCTTATATTATAATTGTAAAATTTTTAGAAAAAAAATCGTTGAATTGACAAATCAATGAAAAAACTTACAAGTTCCGGCGCATTGACAACTCCTATACTGTACCCGAATTGAAAAGAACTTAAAGCTATGACGGCCACCGAAACGGCTAACATAGTTGTCATCCCCTGTTACATAAAAATAAGTAAAATTTATTAATTAATGAAAAAACCAAATTGTATATAAATAAGCATCGATTCTCAATAAAAAACATTTTAGATTGATCTTTACAACTGAACGAAATGAAGATTGGATGAATAATGGTTATAAATTATAACATTCTTGTCTGCCATAAGATATATACTGCTCTATATTATATAAATTTTTAAAAATACTTTCTTGTTAGGTTTTTAAGCTTTTTTTATTTTTAGTTATAAAATTATTGGGTGACAAATTTAAAAAAAGTTGGGGATTTTAAAATTAATTTGTCCGACCAAAGAAGAAATTTAAGAAAATTACTAAATTCATGAAAAACAAATATTTCAAGGAAAGCGAAAAGTATATCGGGCCTATTCTTGTCCAACTGATCCAGTCCTTAATCCCCTCCCCCCCCCCCAAATCCAAGTCTGAACTACCGAATTGGTCTGAATTTATTTTAAGAAGAGGTCTATACTAAATTTTTTTATTAAATTAAAACGTTGAAAAAGTGAGATATTTCAATGAAAAATTTATAAAATCTTTAAAAAGAAAAAAATTGGGGCTATCCTTAAAAAATTTGTAAAAACATCAGGACATAATAATTTAAATTTTCTAGAGGTCCAAGTACGAGAGAATGATATGTCTGTCTTAAATTGGATTCAGAAAGATCCATGTTAGGCTCTAGTGGAAAGATTATAAAATGAAAATTTTGTTATTCGTCAGAATATTAATAAACAACAGGGAAATAAATTTAAAAATTTTGCCGAGGTCCGAGTAGGATCTAAACTAATATTTCATAACCATGTCAGACTCGATTGAGTTCGAGAGAATGGAAGAGTTTCGATTCTTGCAAGGCTCTACTATCGATCAGAGTCGGGTATATAGGCCGGGATTTTAATTTTTTTAATATACCCGGGCCTATAATTTTTTTTGGAAAATACCCGAGCCGGGCAGGGCCTAAATTTTTTTATAATAAAATACCAGGCCTGGCTGTGTAAATTGTACCTCTGCAGGTCGCTGATATATATATGTACAATAAAAAAAATTCACCAGATTAATAATCAATTATAATTTGCCATAGATATCAATGGATCAATATTTTAAAAAAAGGCGCAAACGTAAATTTTCGCCTTTTATTTTATTAGTCTCAAGAAATTTTAATAACTACACACATATAAAATATCGATTTATTCATTAATTCAAGAAGAAATTGTAGTTTTTCAACAATTCTCTATAGTCTATACTTTGTAATTTATAAAATATCAAAAATCTGAAGATTATTTGTTTAATTAAATTAAAATATGAATTGTTAAATTTATTATTTGCTTTCGATTCGAATTATTCGTTCTTTTTAAAATAATTCATATACGAAAATATACTTAATTATTAGAATATGAAGGAATTATCGAATCTGTTTAAATTCACAACAATTAACCATCGTTGAAGGCGGGGCGAAATCATCAATTCATATAATAATTTTTTTATAAGTTTAAACTTGGTGGAAGATAATCTTACTGCAGATATTAAGGAGAATAAAGGAGAAACTGACAAGATTGATAAAGCAGCTAAGTAAGGATATGCCGATAGATTGAGAAATGATTCAAAAACATTCATTATATAAAAAGCAAGTTCAACAGGCGAGAATGGAGGCCAGAAGAGCAGATACTTATAAAATGCACAAACGAGATCTATCCATGATAGATAGGTGCCTCATGCTGGTTTGCGGGTGGCCATGCCAGTCTGGAAATAGTTAACATGAAACATGGGATCAGGGAGTGATTAAAAAGAGAAATTAAGCAGAAGTAGCCAAAATGCCTAGAGCAAGAAAGAAAAGATGATCTAATAATTTTTTTTCAGGTATACATAGGTTCAACTTAAAATAAACGTTTTTAAAAAATTGACTAAATCGAGCGGTTAACATAACTAGCTAAATGTGATTCGTTAAATATTTTAAAATACTTTTCTTGTTGCAGATAATATAACAAAAAATAGTGTAAAATTTTTAACTTTTTTTTACATTTACAACAAATAAATTGTATTTAAGTTCCTTTCATTAATTTATTATGAAATTATTTATAAAATAAATTATTTTTATAGAATTATATACACAACCATAAAATAACCCAAAATATTCAAAAATATCGGATCGATATTTTTGAAAAGGTTAAATATAGGTGCCGATCCGATATGATATTTAATATCGGCACAGCCCTACTATTTTTTTCGAAAAATTGTATTTTCGAATTAAAAATTTATTTGTTGAAGGACGTAAAAAAGACACACCTCCACGTGAAAAAAGGTATTGACATGCCGTTTCTGAATTTTTTTAACGATGCATGGCATGATGCATCAAAAATAATGGGGGTGGGGGGTTAGAAAATTAGTACTATGTATTTGTTAAATAAAATTATTTATATATAGTATAATCAATAATTTTGTTGTGATTTTGTAAAGAATTAATTGGTTAATTAAATATATTTTATCACTATTAAAAGCTATTGGTGGGTTATCTGCGACAGGAATTTTGGTTCGAAAATATATAAAGCTATTAGAAATAACAATTAAATAAGAACGATCACATTGGGATGGAATGATTTAAATGGTAATCGAAAGCTATAGATAAATTAAAAGCCATGCATGACTATATACCGTACCCGTAATATTTAAAAAAGAAGAATATTAAATATCGCAACTTTATTTATATCAGAGATCTGCAGGCCCGTTAGGCTTAAAGAATTATACTTTAAGTGTGAAAATTTTATAAAGCGTTCAATATTCATTTACTGCACTCATATTTTCAATAATCAAAAAATTATTCAAAAATAACGAAACCCTTTCTAAGTTGGGCTTGCAAAATGATTCAAAATAAAAATCTGGGCTGGGCTAAATTTATTTGAAATCCGTGTTTGAAAATATAAAATTTTTCAAATCTGGAACGGGCTAAAATTTTGACATCTGCAAGTCTCTGATTCAGTTATATGCTATATTAAAACTTAATAAGCTTATCTATTAGATAAATCAGAGACTTGTAAGCCGGGCCCGAAAAATCCGTAAAATCACACTAAGAAATTAAACTAGAACCGGGCCTAAAAAATTCAAACTATATCTATTATTTAGTTAGAAAATCATATACTGGAGCGATTAATATTCATTTACTCCTCGTATTTTCAATTTCCCTTTGAAACAATTTATAAAATGCAGCGAAAATGATCCAAAAAATAATTAAATATAAAAATCGGGACCGCATACAGAAAATAGCGGTTCGGATCTAAGAATTAAACAACATTTTATATGATTACGAATTTTCTTTTAAAACCGAAAACCATAAATTTCTTTTGGCAAAAATATTGCCCTGATAGGGTTTCGAATGTGAGTCAGCTGTAGTATATGCAAATATAAGTGTCTTAACTCTTAGACCCCCTAAAGGGTTAATAAAAAAAATAGCCATATTAAGCCTATAATATATGCGAAATTTAGTTATGGATTAAATTCACAATGCCGATTTATAAAATGTTGAAATATTATATAGACTAAATTACATTGAAAATATTTTTACCTTGATCATTTTATCGGTGTTGAGAATGTATCTGTCTTTAATTGATGATTAATTTTACAAATAACAAACTATGAAATTTTTAGGTTTAATAACATTATTATATGAATTTATATAGAGACAAATATTATTTGGCAAATACCCAATCAATTATATTCCAAATTTTTAAAAAAAATCATTTTATCAAAATTCAATGATGCTTATATATTTTTTTTCCCAAATCCACCCCCAGGTCAATGTATAAAATCCTAAATTTAATTTAATTCAAATATTATTTTATAAATTAGACTAAGAACATTTATTATGATAATGATTGGGGGGGGGGGGTATGCTAAATAATAAAAAAAGATGATTGATCATAAAATAATAATTATTGATTATGGAAATGAATCATCATTTATTATATTGTTAGTAGTACTGACACAACATAAATTATAAAATGGGGATAGAATTAGAACTAGAATTTTAATAATTGAAATTTTATAAAATTCATCTAAGCGCGGGTTTGTATTTTTTTAAACTCAACCCAGATGCAACGTTACATTCTTCAAGCAGATATTCTCCAAATCGTTACTATCATAATACTAAGAGTTTTCTTTTAACCAAATAATTCATTATATTTAGTAAACAGATAAAATTATTTTAGGCCCGTTTGTATTGTAACATCATACCATTCTACGGACCGCCCGGGCTTTGCAAACTAAAAAAAATCGGTCCAAGCTTGGGTCCTTTTTTTTTATTTTTAAGACCGTACCCGAAATTTTAATTTAAAAAAAAGTATATAACAAATGGATTTTTATATTAAATAGGAATCACTAATTGCTTTGTCAAGATATTCAAAATTAGAGAAATAAAAAAAATTTCGTACATTTCATTATGAAACGACAAAATGATATAATCATATTTTTTATACAATTAACATATGGATTTTTTCTATTTACAATACAAGAGATAAATACCCTGTTAGCGAAGATGACAACGATATGATTTTTTAAAAAAAATGAAGGTCAGCGAAAATAATTTTAAATTGAGCTTAAAATCTTCACATATTTACATTTTAAGGGCTGCGTAAAATATTTGGTTTACCGTCAAATGATTCAAAAATCGAATATAAACAAGAGCCCTATAAAGACCGATATGCCGCAAACTTTATATATCGAACCCGGTCAGTTTCGGACTAAATTTATTTCAGATCAGACAGGACTTAGGACCTCGACAAAATTTTGAATTTTTTTGTTTTCTTAATGTTTTATGAATATAATGTTTAAGAATAACCATAAAATTGTTTATCAGCCTTGGTCTGCAATTATTAAAAATAATGCTTTTTTTTATTGAGGTGCGAATAAAATATGCTAATATTTGCTACTCACGTCTGTTTATATTGTTTACAAAAATTTCGAAAATATGGCTTTTTTTAATCGCTAGCGAAGGCAACGGACCTTTATTCATATTATTATAAAATCAAGTTACAAAGTATAAAGACAATACCTAAAATCTAAATTATTTGTATTTCAAATATACTAAATAATATACAACAGTAATGCTACACCTCTTAATTGAAAAAGTTTATAAAAATTATTTTCTAGGAGCGATGTGGTCGTTAACATATAGCTCTAATTAGGATACAACCGCAGCCTAAGAACGAAAATAATTGATTCGATGAAAACGGTTAATTTTTGCTATATTTCAATCATTAGATTGAATATAATTATCAGATAGGATCTAACTCGATATAACTACAGGGGGTATTTATTGCCCTTAATTGAAAAAGTTAAAAAAATTTTGTTTGGATAAGTAGTCCTAATAAATTTCTTGAAACCTTAATTTGATCTAAATTTAATCAATAGCTTATGGGAGCTCAAAAATTTAGATATACAGGAGTGCTATGAACCCATTTTTACCCGTCCCTTCTGACGCCATTGGCAAAAACAATATTTAGTAAAATAAGTTACGAAAATTTGTTTAATATCCCGAGACGAGAAAGGATATCTGTTAGTAACTATAATCAGGGTTTAACAATAAAAAGTATTAGGTTACGACCAAACTTGTTTTCCTGTTTTTACTCTTAATGCATAAAAGATACATCATCTGTTATAATTTAATTATACTCTTTCAAATTTTTTACTAGTAAAACCTTAAGATAAAATAGCTATCTATTGAAAGCTTATTTTACTAAATAAGGATACTATTCAATTAATAGATTGGATTTTCCCTATTTATACCTAACCTAGACATGTTTAGACCAGTCTGAATCAAACCAAATTTGAAAAAAATCCGAGCTGGACCCGTACCGAAACTGAAGAAAAATTTGTCAAGTCCAGAACCCTCATTTTATTAAAGTGTTTTCTGATTTACAACTTAAGTTATGGTTATTTAATTTCTAAAGTTAAAAATGTAAATTTTATTTTCAAAACTTATGGTTCCATTTTGGAACTGGAGCCAAAATTTTAAATTATTTTGTTTTTCTAATCTAGAAAAAATTCGAATCTTTGAAAAAGGGGACAGACAGCCGAAACAAAAAAAGTCGAATCGAGCTTGACCTGAAAAGACAGGTCAGGTACAGGGCTTCAATTTCAATGTAGACTAAGTAAAAATAATTTGTACTCTATTTTAAATAACATTTACATTAAAAAACAAGTATTATAAAAAAATTTAAATATAGAGTCACAAAATTTCAAGGATTTGTTAAAGGGCTTGATTTTTAAAAACGGCTAACTGAATATTTTATAAAAAAAAATATTACGCCAGCCTGAAGATTTTGGTCATAAATAGCACAAAGGTTTGGACATCTATCAGTGTATCTCGATGCTAAGGCAATATTTTTTTGACTAAAATATTGAATTAGCCGTTTTTAAAAATCGGTTCAAATCGAAGTTTAACAACACTATGCATAATCGGATTGATGATATTGGCATTTACGAAAATATTTAGAAATTATAGGTATTGAAAAAGTAAAATTCTTGAAGTTGTAGTTTTCGATTTATGTGACTTGCATGTTAAATATCTAATTAATTAATTTCAATTTTACATTACTAAATTTTATATATAAGTATATTGCCACTAATTTTTTTTCCCAATATATATTAAATCGTCGATCAAAAAAAAGTAATAAAGAGAAATAATATTTTTTATAAAATAAAACAAAGGGACTCAATACTTTGGCCAAAAAAATATTGCCTGAACCTCAAAATTTCACTTATATGCCTAGACCTTTGTGTCTTCTATGAACAAAATCTTCAGGTTAACTTAATATTTTTTTGGATAAAATATTGAGTTAGCCATTTCTAAAAATCGGCTTAAAACGAGCCGATTAACAACACTACTCTTATCCCCAAAATTATGATAAAATACAAGGAATTACAAAAATAAATTAATCTATATGTAATTTTAAATATATAAAAATTTAAGAAAAAATATATCATTTATAAATATAACTTTTTATCAAAATACAATAGGTAGAAAATCTGCAATGACATTTCTAAAGGAAATAAGGAAAAAGATAAATCTATCTAACACTTAGCCAACACCAGCTTTACAATCAATTTAAATTCGAAATTATTTCAGCATATTCAAAACTAAACTCTTTTATTCTTAGCAGAATGACGTAAATAAATGCTTTTAGGTTTCCTAATCGGAGGCGAGGAGGCAGTAACCTTCTTCCTCCAATTCCTTCAACATTAAACTTAAGCCTTTTTTTTTATTTCTTGCTGACTTACAAACTTTTTTCCAATTATACCTAAAATAGTATAAAGCTCTTCGAGTATCTCCGATTTTAAAAATGATCAGCTCCTTGACGCCCATGAATACAATGTCCCTTTTAGAATAATTCTAAGCCACTCTCCCAATGAAATAGGGTGGAATTGTGGTTCTCTGTATAACAATTTGTTCGCCAAAATAACTGCCTAAGGAAACTTCGATCATATTATGAATAATTTTGGGAAGAATGTATTTCTAGCTCCTGAGTAGTGGAATGTCAATTCTTCTGAGCAGGCCCATTTATATTTTTTTCAAAAAATGGAATGCCCGTCTAATTTCTCATTCCGCTCAAATCATCTTTTACAAAAAGGTCAACTAAAAAAACAACTCTATATTTAGTCGGCAAAATATTGTGAAAAATAAAAAAAAATTACTAATATTTTTTTAAATGCAAATATTATATTTTTAAAAAATATCAAAAATTTTATTTAGACTTATAATTTTTCTGCTTTTTCAGAATCGTACTTGTTTCAATCCAATATTTTTTTCAGATTTTTGAAAGTGTGATAAAAGAACTCATATAGGCGCAGAGCTGATAAATGTCAGGATATTCATCTGTTGTTCAGGAAATCATAAAGGTTCGCTACACATAATAATTTAGCTATTGTAACCATTTTTTATTCATTTGTGTTTTAAATATTTTAAAAAAGGAACAAGGATATATAAAAATTTTTCCTGATTTATATTTGTTTTTAATTCCATATGGTCTCATTATGATCCCCATTGAATTTAAAATTGAACTAAAATGAGGTTTATGGAAGAAAATGAATGTATTTTTATTAGATTAAAATGACGCTACGCTCTCTTAAAGGTTAAGGCATAATATCAAAGCCTTGTTTATCGTAACCGCGAAAAGCTTTACTTCCCATCGTACTGCTTAAATTAGAAAAGAGATAATGTATGCGATCATTTAGGTATGAACAGAGTATTTAGCACCATCATTGCGGTTCTTATAAATGAGACCTAAGTTTACCAAGTTGAGGGAGCGTTTCACCAGGCTTTAATTGAACGAAAACGTTAATCATTTAAATTTATGTTTTTTTTTAAACATGCGATATTAATTATTATTTTTAAATGCAAATGTAAATGTAAAACCGTCTAATTATATATACCAAAAAATAACGGATAAAAAAAACAAAGATAAAAAATAAATATGCTATTTTATAAACTTTTTATATGAAAAAACCATACAAAGATCAATTTAGTTCAGACAGCTGATATAAAATAATGACGATGCACTGCCCACAAAAAAGTCGAGATTAGTTTAACAATAAACCCCTTTATGCGTAGTAGATATAGATATAAAGTGGCTAACAACCCAACTTGCCTTATACTTTTTATTTATGAATGAAAACGTCGAAAATAATATATATTGTATTATATACTCTTAAAAAATATAGATATTAAGGTCAAATAAAAATGAGCGTAAATCAAATGATATCATAAATTTTTAAAATGCGATGATAGATTTTGTTTTTTGAAATGCGATGATAGATTTTGTTTTTTATAAATCAATCCTATTTTTAGTACTTAAATAAATTTCCCGTATAAACGGGGGTGCGATTCCGGGCATGCATTTAAAAGTGAATTATAATTAAATATAAATTACATAATTTATGCTAGATATTATTACCCAATTCAAAAATTTATTGCAAATTATTTATATTGTACTTTAATGTTTTGCATAAGTATGACCAAATTCATATTTTAAGCAAGTTTATTCACAAATCTCATTTTAAGAATTTTATCCTTTTTTTATTAATTAAGTAAATTTGAGAGGTTTTAAAGGTCCACGAACACCCTAAGCCGTATAGTATAACAAATTGGAATCAAATACTTATAAATTTAAACCAGTTGGCGAAGCACCAAGATGATGGGTTTGGGTTAGGTAAAAATAACGTTTATGGTTGTGAAAAATATAATATCCGCTTGGTTTGGGCCTTTAAAACCCGGTTCAAACCTTTTAGCGTATAAGTGTAGTGTATTATAATTAGGTAAAAAGAAGTATATTTTTTGAAATTTTATCCTCTAAAACAATATTGAGCAGTATACAATTTAAATATTTTCAAGATTCTCTGTCACATTATCTCAAAAATTAGCATAATTAATTAAAAGTTATAAGAATCAAAACTCAGTATTAATTATATTTAATAGAAAATTATAATAGCAAAGCAAATAGTTCAATCTTTAAAAATATATTCATTATTTTTTACGTGAGCTTTAAGAGGCTTGACTTCTTTAACTTGATACCGCCTTTCCATTTCCTGAGGCGTTTCTTTAGTTATATCCATTTGATAATATATAGGAAATATTAAAAGTCAATAGTGACTTTCTAATTTTTAGAGAATTATTTAAAATGAGTTGAATTGACAAATGGAATATCAAGAATGATCAGGATTAAAAATTTTATATGGTAATGAAATTATGATTATACACTTTATTTATTTTTTTTTAAAAATGCAGTTTGTTTTTGAAAAAAAATCTATATATAAAATATCGTAATTCGATAGTGTATATAGTAAAAATTGTGTTTTCGTATTTATTGCGCGTTATATTTTCATTTTTATTTTATTCGCATGATTTATTTTATAATTATAAATATAAAAAATAATTATTTTATAATCACACAACACACGCTAACAACACAAACAAAGCATATTTAATAAATAATAGAGGTGCGGAAACAAATATTTATTATAACAAATATTTACTTTTCTTTTTGCTTATTAAATTACTATATAATATAAAAATGTGAATTAAAAAATGGTGGTTTTTTATTTATATTTATTTATTTAATTTTATTTAAAATCACGTATCTCACCATCCTATTCACTCCCACACTATTATTGGGTAATAAATTACGTAACCCAAATAATCAAATAAAAAGCTTCCAATTTTTTATTATTTCATTTTTTATTATATAAAAATCTTATTTAATTAAGGTAGGAAAAGTAAAACATTTAAAATTCGATTATATTTTATCGTTAATTTATCCTACAAAATCAAAAAAAAAACAAGAAATAGGTTAAAAAAATTATAATTTATCAGGTAATATAAATGTTAATCTTCAGATGTTCTTGAAAAAAATATGAAAATTCTTTTTTTAAAAAGATTGTTTTTTTTTGAGAATTATACACCATGACCATATAAATGTCTTATATTTTTTGAGGGAGTTTAAAGTTGATAAATCACTCCATTTGAACCGGCTCAGCTCACATTTGTTGCGGTTCGAGGTCAAGGATGAGCTCCCTTTGAAATACTAGGAATGGCCATTTTTTGATAAGGAGAGATAATACAAGGAACCTCGTTAGACTTTTTGAAAAGGAGGTAGTAAAAAGTAGGGATCCAAACCGAAACGAATATCGGTTCTGGTTCGGTTCCCAAAAAATAAAAAGATCGGTTCGGTTTGAACCTCTAAAAACCGGTTTGAACACTTTTATAAACGTACATTTGAATTATTTATAGGGAAGAATTTTTTTTTATTTCATAATTAAAATAAAAAACACATACATAAACCTTCATTTTATAAATTTCACATTAAAAAATAATATTAACAAATAAATATCAATGATTCATTTTAATATGAGCAATTATTTAAAATTTTTTTATTAAGCCGCACAATTAATATATTTTCAAAATTCGTCTCACTCAATTACATCTATAAGAAGATAATATAGATTTAATTGTTGAAAAACATCTTTCCACACTAATTTGGGTAGCTGGCACTGCCAGTATTATATCAGATTTGATGTATCATTTATAATACACTATGTAAATAATTTATATATTGGATTTAATTTTTCTATAGGCATTATAATTCATAAGCTTAAAATATTTAAAAATGTTGTAAAATGGCAATATACTAAAGTTTTAAAAATTATGACTGACACTTATCAATCAAATGTGATTGATAATAATCTTTAAAACAATTCGAATATAATTAAAATTTTTGCAATATACTAGTAATAACTTACACATTATTTTATAAACATAAAATTATGAGACTTGAACCGGTTCAGAGGGATTTTAGCGGTTCGGTTCTGGTTCGGCTAGAAATTTTTTAGCTGTTCAGGTTCGGTTTAGATTTGATAAAAAATATCGGTTTTAGCGGTTTAATGGTTCGGTTCAGGTGTTTGTATCCCTGGTAAAAAGTGCTAATTTAAAAAAAATGTAATTGGAGGAAATTTTATTCATTTAAATATAAAAGTCATTATCAAGATTTTATATTACGGATTATCTTCAGCTATATTGCCAGCCATAAATCCCGCTTTATGCTGCACAGTTCTGCGAAATTAAATGATCCCGCTAACTAGTCATATTTAGGGTTGTCAGGTCTCTCTCCATCAACAATAGAACCCCGCAATTTTTTAGTTTACACGCAGACATCTCACACCGCAATTGAAAATCTACTACAATTTTTAAATTTCACCCACGTAATTGTTTTAAAATCATTTTAACGTTCATTAATGGATTTATTTCTATATTTTTAAAATAAATTTTAAATATTTATTCAAAAAACATGTCTAGGTTGTAAATTACTTTCTATCCTTACCTTAATCATATGTTTTATTTTTATCCAATAATAAATTAACATCAATCATTCATATTTTATTTCCATGTGTGTTTGTGTATAACATTATAGGACTAGGGGCTTAATTATCGGATGTGATGTGATAATTATTATATTTATTATGGTTCAATCACATTATTATGGAGTGTATCTACATCTATTGCAATACAAAAATATGCTCCAAAAATAAGAAATAATACAGATGCAACTACAGTTGCAGAAATGGTATACACTTATCATGTAGTACAACATTCACAAAGCTACTTATCATCACAATATGGATAGAATCTTTTCCCCATAATATTTAACGACTCCTAGATAAATGAAAACTTTACTTGTAGAACAAAAATGAGAAAGGCTATCATCAATGTTTTAGAATCTGAATCTAGGAGGTCAATTTTTGACAATTTTGGACATCCATATGCAATACTAACAGATGCATCTAATAAGGGAAATATTAAAACATATACCTTCATTCTCCGTTATTTCAACAAAAATAAGGGCGTTTCAATAAAACTATTAAATTTTATTTACTTAGATAGTGAAAAATCCAAAGACATAGCTAACATATAATGGTATATATAGCAGATTCGAGATTATCAATGATTTGTATGTCAGCTTTCTGAGCTGATAATGCCTCAGTTTTACGAACCTTAAAAATATTTCTTATAAAGAGTATAAAAGCTGTCCTAATGTTTTGAAAACTTTGAGAATGAAATGGCAGAGGCAATGATTTCACGTGTATGAAATCTACTATATGTTGTTAACATGCAGTTGCAATCAGAAGAATCTTATTTAATAAAAACACAAAATTATGCTGCAGCTGTGTTCATCTTTATGGTTTAAAATTGACAATAAATTATGGCGCTATTGCTAAAAATATCATATTAAAATGTTCAAATCTTATTCTAATTAATGTATTTTTAAATGAAGCAAATATTTTTATGATAATTTTAGAATATTTGCAATCAAAATTTAATTTCAATAACTCGATTTATAAATGTATAGATATTATGATCTTGGAACAGAAACATCAATTGATGGTTTTTGTAATTTAATAAATATATTAAAAATACCGATAGACATTGATGCCTTGTTTGAGGAGATTCAAATTATTTTCTTTTATATATAATATAAATAAAGTAACTCCACTACAAAGAAGTTATTTTGAAAATATTACCTGTTTTGATATAAAACATTACCGACTTTGTTAATATTTATATAAAGTAGGGGGATAACTAAGCTAATTCACAATCCCGCAAAAAAAAATTTTTTTAAACAATTTTTATATTTCTACCGCAATTTTCATATTTCACCTGTAAAATACCAAATTTCTCCCGCAATTTAAAAATTTTGACCTGGCAATCCTGGTCATATTAGGTGATACATGATAAAAACGTTTCGCCCCCTAGATGTAGATACAACAGAGCTACGCTAGGTTTTCCTCAAATCAATCAAGTTGGATATTTAATTTAGGGGTAAAATGAGGAGCCCTTTAAACGTTTGTGGGCAAGCTGCACCTACTTGTGCGCGCAATAGTCCTAGAACTATTACTTAAACGTCTGTGGGCAGATTAGAAGGGAATGGACAGAGAAACACATTCCATAAAGTATCTAGTTTATTTATGAAATGTAATATTAAATAAATTAATATTAAAAAAAACAGCTATATATTTATATTTTATTAATAATCTGTTATTTTTTTTCTAAATTTAGAATGGAATATAAAAAAAGTAAGGTTTGTACATTTTGATAATGCAAATCAAGTTCGAATAGCGAGAAATACCCTCTTATATTATATTAATAACGATGAAGTGATATAATGAATTTAATAAATCTAAAAATAAGGTAAAAGACATTAAAGAAATTATAGCATATGATATTAAATTGGTAAATCTGGTAAAAATTTTCCTACAAGATGGCTTTTACTTATTCCTGTAGTAGATAGACTTTATAAACATTTTGAAAAAATTATTTTCTCTCTTTAAATAATTCACCAATAATTTTAAAATTATTTTTCGAAGAAGAATTAGCAGAAGCCTTCCTGGGCTTGATATTAACTGTATGCGGCCATTTAGATAAAATAATAAAGAATCCAAATGAAGTTATAATAATCGATTTATTATCATTTATAGATAGATTAGCATAATTAAGGCTCAATATCAGCATATTTATAGTCCAATTAAAAACTCTTAATTAGACAAGTGTTCTGACAAAGTCGAAGTATAAAGAAGTAGCTCAGATTAAAAACATTTATCCAATATATTGGAAAAAGATTTGATTTTAATGACAATATATATAAATATTTTAAAATATGGCATTGAACTATATCAAGTTTGAACATTTTGAACGAAGTGTATTAGATTTAAACTTATAAATGTAAATATCTATGGTATGTTTGGATAATTTGTTTTGCTCTCCAAATTCGTAAAAACGGAGAATTTATTAGGTTTATCTTATCAATATGGAGACAATTTTTAAACCTTAATCAAGCAAGAAACTTAAAAAATTTATAGCAATGCGGCCTAAGAGAAAATTTTTTAGTTTAATGAATAAGTGTTGGAGAAAAAATTGTTCTTCATTCTCATTTATTAGAGACCGAATTGATGGTAAAGCAAAATTGATATGAATTGCGAAGATTAGCGAAATTTATTCCCGAAAATAAAATAGATTATTTGATAAATATGTAGAGATTTAATATTTAATTTTTTTATATTTTGACTTTGTAAAAATGCATATTATTCAAATAAAGATTGATAGATGCGTAATTTGACAAAAAAATTACCAATACTTATATAAAATGTGATTGCGTTTGTCCCACTAAATTCCGCTTTTTTATCCTTTTATTTATATTGAAAATCCCGCAAACTCACTTTTTGAATGTGGCAGATCTAA